ATTATCAATTTAAAATTTTACAAAATTCAATTTTTTCGTAATTTTTTTTTTGACAATTTTAACCCCTTAAAAATGTTTCAAAAGTTGAAAAAATTAATTTTTTGCGAAACATATCTAGATTGATTTGGCTGGTGATGCTGATCAAGAATATATATGATTTATAGGGTCGAAAATGATTACTTCAAAAGTTACAAGCTTCTGACTGAAATAATAATACCATAATTTGAGACGAAATTTATCAATACTTTTATATGAGAATTTTTCAACAAATTAAATTTAAAACAAACTCATAACTAAGCCAAAAATGCATTAATTTTATTTCGGAAAGCTTTCCTATGTTAGTTTTTAATAGGTTAATAAATCTGCATTATTAATTTAAAATTTTAGAAAATTCAATTTTTTTCTAAATTTTTTGGACCATTTTACGATAGAATGCTTTAAAAAATCTTCAAAAATTTGAAAAAATTAAATTTATGCGAAACATGTCTAGATCGATTCGGCTGGTGATGCTGATCAAGAATATATATGATTTATAGGATCGAAAAGGACTCCTTCACATTATTATAAGCCTTTGACTAAAATGAAAATACCCTTGCAAGATTATAAATACTTGCAAAAAATCATAAATTTATAAAAGAAAATTTTGAAATTTCTCCAAGTGCAGCTCTCTCTCTCTCTCTGGCTTTGTATTTTTCCCCTATTTTTTTTTTTTTTTTTGGGTGTAGACCTGGCCCGCAGTAAACAAAAGCCACATTTGACAAAGAAAAATCTTAAAGTTTTTGCAGCTAGTTACAATTGTAAGTAGCACACACACAGTACCACCGGCACACACACACACACACTCTATTATTATTTTGCTGACAACTGCGCAGGCGCGCGCGTGTGCGTCATGAAATTAGTTTATTTGTTTGCATAAATGTGCCAAAGCCCCCAAGACCCCCACTCTATATGTGATTTTTGTGTGCAGCAAATTTCTAATAAATTCGTTGTTGTTTCGGCACCCGTGTCATGCACACCTGGAGCATAATTCGCCCTCAGTCGATCCACAAAAAAAATACAACAAAATAAAGAAACAAAACCAAAAACCAAACTAAACTGAACTCAACTGAACTGAGCCATGAGTCAATTTCCGTCAGCTGCGCCAGCTGAGCAGCAGCCAAGTTGGTAGTTAATAAAGATACATTTTTGCCACCACACAAACTACCTCGATTCTCTCTGGGAATAATTGTAAATAAGTAACTATAAAGGTATTCCAAAAGCACAGTTTATAATTAATAATATAAAACTTTACAAAAAATGCAAAACAAGGTACTAGAAGTTGTTAGTAAATGCGGAGAGTTAAGAGGGTGGAAAACATATATTTCAATAAATAAAACATTTATACAATAATATATATAGTATGATAAAGAAATTATTTACCTTGAAAGCATTCTACTTTTCTTTAAAATTTATTTTTAGGATTTTTAAAAATATGTCAAAAGCATTATTATAATAAATAAATATTTGTTCATGATTAGGAAAAGAATTTTTAATGATACCATTGTTCTTTTAGCTACTTTTCTATGTTCATAATTTAAATATTGCATCAAAAACTCTTTTAAATGAATGATTTTATACCATTTTATATAGTAAACAAGAAATTCGTTATATAAAAACCTCCAACAAACCCTCATTAATTTGTTTTCCCTTGATTAACCTCTCTAGTCATCCCAAGAAAACAACTTGAGCAGACTTTCCATAATTTAAAATCTCATAATTACTGGGGCTTCTTGTATTCCACCTAAAATATTCTCACATATTTCCAAAAAAAGGAAACGAAATTGTAAATTTCATTCCCCAAATATTGATGTTCCAACCAAACGTGATTTAAACAACGAAATTTTTGGTATAACGATGTGCCTCCTCTTGAGGCAGCATCTTCTACTAAGCATCCTTAGGTACGGGGGGATCCCACTTAAATTTCGAGACTTAGAACAATAAACAGGGCACAACAAATTCTTCTCTTTGATTTCTTTTCTATATATTCTTTTTTCCCCCTGATTTAACAACACACATTCAAAATCAATGAATGCCTGCCACTTGAGTACAGGATGGAGATGGAGCTCTTTTTTTTCGGCCACTTGAGCGTTCGATGACATTTCGTTTTTAGTTCCCTCTGTACAATTATTATAATACATAAATTTATGCTACAGCAGCCCAAGTCCACAAAGAATTTTGTAAAATCATTTCTCGAGTGGGCCTCCTAAAAAAAAGAAATGAAGTTTAACGATTCCTACTCAGGTTCAAAATCGGTCGGGCCGCGACCGTAGCTGTAATAATAATAATAATGTATATATGCTCCACTTATAACTCATTCCCATTCCCATTTCCATTCCCATTCCCGTTTACTTTGAACTATAACGCTGCCCCAAAACTTGATGACAAAAATAGTTTGTTGTAGTCTATGGACTACCTAACTTTGTTAATTTGAGGTAATTGCCCACACAGACATGAGTACTTACTATACCATACTATATTATGTATACATATATATCGGGCATGGTCTATAAGTCTACAAGTCTATAACTTTAACAATGCCTGTGCTTTATTTTAAGGCACAAGGTTGACTTTTGTGCTGTGTGTAGGTTCGTTCGTTATAACAATTGTTAAGTTCGAGCAGAGAGCATGTGTTGTAGTAGATCCAGTAATTATTTTTCGGTTTTCGGTTTTATATTATTGTTATTAACAGCCCACAAAAAAAAATTAGGGGAAAAAAATAGATAACCGAGAGTCATACACACGCTCGAAATCTAAACCAGTTTGCTTATTTAATTTCAATGCTTAGTCTTGAAGTCACATTGATTGGACTGCGATTACTTTTATGAATGTCAAGAAACATAGAGAAAAACAATTAAATACATATTTTGATTTTGGGGATTTTTGGTATTGCAAATACCCTTCTCTCTAGTACTTTTCCGAGAGTTATTTTTAAGCGAACTTTACTATGTTAACTTGACTAAGAAAGCCCCACCCTGACTCGGCACTCGTCTCGAATTTAAATGATTCCCGCATTCTCAGGCAAATGAACAAACCCAAAAAATACAAATAAAATAAAACACATGACTTAAAATTTAAACATTACCATAATAGTCAGCTATAATTAATTGTTTGCTAATAAATATCAATTTATATATAGAGAGAGAGATATAGGAAGAGTACAAATAATAATAATAATAATAAGCGCACGCGCCGCCGCCAATGACTAAGTTTCCTTTGAGGTCTCTTTGGTTATCCGATAAATGCGAGTCTACATAGATATAGTAGGTATGTTTCTATATATATACATATATATATATAAATTGTAAATCAGATACGGCATAAATATTGAACACATGGCGCAGTTTCTGTTTCTTGTGGGTGCCAAAAGGGGGAGAGAGACTGAGCAAAATTGAAATAAAATAAAGCACAATAAAACGTACTTAAGATTGACGATTGTGTGTGTGTTGTGTGTGTAGATGGGGGCTCAAAAGGCGATCAATGGAAGAGACTCCATCGAATACTTAACGAGGAGTACAGTCAAGTCCGGGGGTATGCCATTAAAGCAGATGAGATGTTTTATATATTCCAATTAAAGGCGAACTAAACTTAAATAACACTTCATTATGGCATTTCATAAATTTTAAGAGGGTTAAACTGGGGATGAACATGGAGAGAAAATGTTCAGAATGTTCAAAATATTATAAGTCATATCGAAAACATTATATAACTTAATTTATTAAAATATAATATAGTGAAACATTTTACATAAACTCTAAAATATATAATATATAACAAAAAATGTAAAATAAATGTTCTTTAAATTATTTTTCTGTATATCTAGCCGAATATTGATTTATTCAATGTAAAATGCCGATTAACATATCAATTTATATTTGAATTTCGATATATTTCAAGATATCAATATATTCTGACACTTTATCTTCAATTCATCGATTAATGTATCGACTTCCGGTTTGCTAAGACAGACACATTCTCTATATATCGAATATATATTCTATCATCCCTATGCTTAGAACATATAATAATTGTTTTCATGTGTTTAAAATTAGTTATAATAAAGTCTTTTTTGAATACAAATCGACTTAAAGTTTACATATGTTTACTCTTTCAAAAATATGCATATTTAAACCTTGTACATTTCTTATATATCCCATAAATTACCTTAAATAACTTGTATATACTTGATTTGATATAATTGGTCGTCACAGATACTCAGATACTTAAGCAAACCTCACAGATACGTACGTTTTTGAAGCAAACCAAAATGTCGGCAGCTGCTTTTTTTTGCTGTTTCATTTGTATTTTTTTTGTGTGTGAGTTGTGTTAATGCATAAATTAAAGCACATTCACATGGCTTTGGGTGGTGTTCATTTTATGCGATTGTTTGCATTTTATTTATATGGCTAAGAGGCACCTCCCATTTAGCCCCTTGATACCCCTCGATGTCAGCTCGTCTGCTAATTGAAAATCAATTAATGTGACTGCATCCTGTACAGTCCATGTCAAAGTCAGAAATCACAATCATCATTCCAGGGTAGAATAATTCGACAGATGAATTAAAGAAAAGAAAAGGAATCAAAAAATGGAAGAAGAAGCTGAAACAATTCCAAAGTCTCCCAACCCTGGAATCCTTTTGTTTTCACTGTCAGAAAATAAAATAAATTAATTGATGTGTGCTCCGATATCACCGATTGTCTGGGATTTGAACCAAAATTCATCATTTAGGTTCATTGAATTTTGGAGTACGCCTCCGAAGCACTTTTGTGGCACAAGTTTTGCATGCTCAAGTACCTGGCAGTGCCAGTGCCAGTGCCAGTTTGGGGCTTATAATTTCGACAATTCGTTTGTAATTTGAGGACTAATCAATGGGGGCAAACGATTCTCGCTTTTGATTTCTACCTTTCTCATTACCAAATGTTCAATTTTCTCACCACTCCGCTACTCGTTGTACTTATTTGCAGGTCAACAAACAGTATACGGCCAACGATCTGGAGGCTTTTATGAAGATAGCCGCCAACTGGCAGAATTCCAATCACAACTTGCTGGAGGGCGTCGACTTGAAGACGGGTAAGTTAGCCACAAATTGCTCAATGTATCTCTTTCCCTCTAATATCGTTTAAAATTTATTTACAGAAATGACACAGTACATGAACAGTCCCTCGATGAACATGTACAAGAAACGTGAGCGCACTCAGAACTGGAATCATCAGGAGAAGAAATATCTGCTGGACTTGTGTCGCAAGGATATGCGGATTATCGAAAACAAGAGATTAGATGCCGGCCTAACGGCTGTAAAGAATAAAGCCTGGAAGATAATACACCAGAAGTTCTCCAATCAATTTGGCACAGATCGCACCTGTAATCGCCTCAAGGAACAGTGGCGACGCATGAAGGGTACATATTTAATACTATATCTTTATATATATCAATATCTAATTTGTTATTTCTATTCCTTTAGCTTGCACCCGTAATGAGATCTTGGACTATAATAATCGCTTGGCTAGATTCGGTGCCGAGGTGGCCGATCGCAAGAAGCCTTCACCGTTTACCTTTGAGGTCTGGGACTTTATGCAGGAGGCCAAGAAGGCCTGCAAATCGGAGGCACTAGATGGCATCGACTACTCAAAGATACCCTTGGCCCTGGAGGAGGGATTTGAGTATCGCGAGGACTACAAATTCAATGCCGACGAACATGACATGGATGAGTAAGTTAAGCACTAAATTCTAAAAAGGATCTGTTATTAAAGAAACTTCTTTATACAAGCAGCAGTCGTACACCGCCCCAGGAGTTGTGCGATGTGGATATCAAGGAGGAGGAGACCAATGAGACCTTCAACGAGACCTACAACAATCATCATCTCAATCAGAGCGACATCCATGGCAGTGGCGAGCGTTTGAGTGTCTCGCCAAATCACAGCATCAGTCGCAATGGCATCCACGAGGCCGAGAGTCCAGCCACCATGTCTGCAGCAGCTGCCTTGGACACCAGCGGGGCCTTTCTGCCCGGTGGTAGCGGTGACATGTCCGGCTTCCAGGCCAACTTCAATATGAACAACATATCCGCCACGCTGGAGGCTTTGAATGCCCTGCGAACTGGCCAGTTTCCCAGTGCGGCAGCTGCAGCAGCGGCAGCCATACACCACCAGCATCAGGCACAGGCTCAAGTGGCGCAGGCCCTGCAGCACCAGCACAGCAGCAGCAACAATAACAACAATAATAATAATAACGAGGATGATGATGATGTGATGAAGCCACTGGCCAAGAGGCAGCGCACAAACAGTGGCAGTGTGCTGGGCAGCGAGGATCAGGCGATATCAGTGCCCGTCTCGTCGGAGTGTCAGGCCCTGGAGCGTTCGGGCAGCAGCAGCAGCAATGGAGGAGCTGCAGCCCTTGCGGGAGTAGTCACAGCCAATGGCGGCGGCAACAACAGCAGCAGCACCAGCAGCGGCGACAACTTTGAGCTGCGCCTGTTCATGGAGATGCAGAGCAAGGAGCACATGATGCGCATGAAGATACTGGAGGTGCAGTTGCAGGCGGCCAAGCACAGTCGCGATTTGGTGGAGATCAACAAGACGCTGGCGCTGCAGAAGCTGCAGGAGCTGGCCAGCAAGCGGTTGCCCAGTTAGGACAGACAGATGAGCAGCAGCAGGAGCAGGAGCCACAGCATCGGAGGGAGCAGCCACAGCAGCCCATTGCCGTTTCATGTTACATTAGTTTATAGGATTTGAGAGAGCCACCACAGCAGAGAGCGGCGGCTAGAGTTAGCCTTAGGTATTAGACTTAAGTTGAAAACAGGATCCATGGCTACACACACACACACACACACAGAGAGAGACACAAGCAACATTCCTGGCATTGTTGATCAGTATTTGAAAGCTAGAAGCGAATCCCCCGACACATATACACCCAGAAGCGAGGATCACGAGGCGCTCGGAAGTATGCCATAATCTTATGATGAATCGCCTACCTCACTCAGTACCCACAGCACGCACGCACACTCACTCGGCTAGCTAGCAGACTCACACAACAGACACACACTCTCCTCTGGCCCCCGACACTTGACCAAGTCAAGGGTCAAGTTTAGTTAGTTTCTAGTTTATAGTCCACACTCTCTCCAAGTTGCTCAACTACCACAAATGTATTGTACTTACGTTCTTGACATCAGTTAACGTTCTGCTATCCACCACTAACGATCGAAACATATATTAATCATTTTTGTAGCCCTAAGAGAAACAGAGAACTCTATATAATATATATATATATTTGATTTTGATTTTTACTCCTACTTGTAGTGTACTTGTATTTATTTTTATCATTGTATAGACTCTCTCTATATACATATGTTTGTTTGAAATGCCATATTTAAAGAAAGTTCTTTTTAATATCCTTTAATTTCCATTTGCGCTGCAAAACAAATTGTTATCATATATATACATATATATGTAGGCCTCAAAAAGAGCACCCTCACTTATCAAAGGGGGGCTTAGTTTATAGTAGAAGGCTTCCTTTGTGTAAAGCGTGTAAATGAAAGATACAAATTATTTTAAATAAAAGAAAACAAAAACTAAGACAAATCATTGCCGTTTTTTTCAATTGTTTTTATTTTCCCAAAATGATTTCAAGTGATTTTAAGTATCAGAAATTTTGAATTTTTGACCGCCATCTGGTTGGGTGGCTTTCTCCAATGATTGTATTTGCGAATCCATTTTAATCATTTTTGTTGTGATATCATTCTTCTGGCTGAGAATCCTGTGGCGCAACATTTTGAGCTGGTCTCTTTGCTAAGTTAATACAACACAAATATTAATTATAATTAATAAATTAAGTAAAATAGAAAACCTTACCAGTTTAAGGAAGTGTATATTCTCCTCACCCCTGGCCTTCTCATACAAATGCCTGCAGACATTCCTGCCATAATAAATTAAAGATATATTTTATATTTAAGTTGAAAGTTGTAAACTTACTGATTGCCTTGGAAAAATGCCCTTGACTTGAACATCAATAACTGCATCAGTCTTCCCACAATCTTCGGCATATTTCAATTTATTTCTCACTTTTGATGTTTGAAGATGAATGGTATTGAAAGAATTTAGGAAATTACTGAAAATTTGTCTAACATGAACATTTTTGTAATGAAGGCAATGTGAGAGCCTACTGGCTGGCTATTTTTTGTTCGTTTCCCTGTTCATAGACTCTTTTTGAATTTCTCCAGCATGGCTTTGAGTTCTCTAATTTCCACCATTAAATTCTGTCTTACTTTCTCTGCCCGGAGACTGGTCTTGCGATCCATTTCCCTGACTTCAACCTCCAGGGCTCGTATATCCGCTATGATTTCTTTGATTTTCTTCTCCTTGATTTTAACAAATTGTTCCCTGCTCTTTGGGAAAAAAATTTAATGATAATAATAATAATATATACATATATACATACAAGTTTTAAGAAATAATTCTTCTCATCGCCTCTTCCCTTTTCCGAGATCTTGTCCGACAAGTGCCTCCAGTTTGTTCTGTGAAATTGAGTATTAAGTTATTATTTAATTTAATTTATTTATGAACTTACCTAATGTTGCATTCTTTTGGGTCTTGCGTGCATCGCACATATATAAAATCCGTGAAAATATAGGGGCTTTTGGTTAAACTGCAATTACTGAATGATGGCTTAAGGGATCTATTGCGTAATAAATAAGTTGGATTAAATATATAATTCTGTGATTATTACTCACCTTAGGGGGCCTGCTTTAATAATTTTGGCGAGTACAGTGTTTGCCATGGTAGAAACTAGAATTCGAGTCAGCGAGAATGTTTTTTTTAAGAAATTTAGGTGTTGTATTTCAATTAGTATAAACAAATCTGACACTTTTTAGAAAGGTAAAGGATAAGATAAAGATTTGTATGGGAAAATTAGTAATTTTAAATAACCAAATAACTAAAGCTCCAAAGTTTATGCTCAATTCTTTAGCATCTTTCGATTTTATATAACCATTTCCATAAATTAAAGTTTACAGAATAAAGTTATCATTTAAATTAAGTTATCTGATTTTAATATGATTTTAATTCTTGATCAACATCAATATGATCAACATGAAAAGTCGGTTCAAGTCAGTCATGTTTGCCAGAAATAAAAATAATGTTGAGAAATATTCAAAATTTTATAGGGGGCACGTCATTAAAATGGTCGAAAATTTAAAATTATTTAGTTATTTTTTAAATTTAGAGTATGCAGTATTTGTTAACATAAAAAAACTAACATAGGAAAAATTTTAAAATTAAGATTAATGTTTTTTTGGCTGAGTTATGTTCAAATACTATTTACACAAGAGCGTATACGTAATTTTTGACTGCTGAAAATGCAATAATGGCTTACACTCCCTCTCTCCCTCTCTTTCTCTATCCCACTCTATGCTCCATCTGTACATATGTATTTCTCGGACTCCCTCTCGAGCAATCCCTTACACTCAAACTTAATCTGCCATCCACTTGCTCTCTCGCTCCCACCTTCTCTGCTCTCTTTCCTCGCGGACTATAAATACAGCCACTGATGGCGCGCTCGCCTCATTCTGTTCGCGGCTTCCGCGCTGTTAACATCTATTGTGGTAGTGTTTACTATTCGGCTCCACCTGACCAATGCGATGCTTCTGGATGAGCAGGAAGAGGATTATTTGGATGATATCATGGGTAATTAAATTGAAGTCACCTGGAAAATAAATATACACTGGAAGAATATTTGCAATGGCGAAAATGGATAGCCGTGTATCATCTACTGCGGTAAGTTATAATCATGACAATTATATCATATACAAATATAGATGCTACAGATGGAATTAGGTTGAGGTCTAGAATCAGTTATTATAGCTATGCATTCCCTCTCGAGCAATCCCTTACTATCTAGCTTAATCTGCCAGCCGCTAGAGGTAACTCTTACTCTCTCGCTCCCACTTTCTCTGCTCTCTTTCCTCAGGGACTATAAATACAGCCACTGATGGCGCGCTCGCCTCATTCTGTTCGCGGCTTCCGCGCTGTTAACATCTATTGTGGTAGTGTTTACTATTCGACTCCACCTGACCAATGCGATGCTTCTGGATGAGCAGGAAGAGGATTATATGGATGATATCATGAATAATTCGATAGAAGTCACCTGGAAAATAAATATACACTGGAAGAATATTTGCAATGGCGAAAATGGATAGCCGTGTATCATCTACTACGGTAAGTTATAATCATGACAATTATATCATATACAAATATAGATGCTATAGATGGAACTAGGTTGAGGTCTAGAATCAGTTATTATAGCTATGCATTCCCTCTCGAGCAATCCCATACTCACTAACTTAATCTGCCAGCCGCTAGAGGTAACTCTTACTCTCTCGCTCCCACTTTCTCTGCTCTCTTTCCTCAGGACTATAAATACAGCCACAGATGACGCGCTCGCCTCAGTCTTTTCGCGGCCGGCCCGCTGTAAACATCTATTGTGATTGTGTTGTGATAGTGCTTATCCTTGGACTCCACCTGACCAATGGAATACTTCTGGATGAGCAGGAAGAGGATTATTTGGATGATACCATGGATAGTTCAATTGAAGTCACCAGGACCGTGTGCTCTACTGCGGTAAGTCTTAACATTGACAATTATATTATATTATATATGTATATACATAGATGCTACCTGTTCTATATTTGCTTTCATTTCCGAACTTACTATCTTATTCCTGTGGAATCCATTAATTAATTTTAATTTTAAAAGATGCAGACATTTGTATTAGGGATATCCACACACGTATACTTAAAGTTAAAAACCTAACTGAATTATAAATTATTTATAAATATTAATTTCTTACCCTTACGAAAGTTACAAAATTGAACCTGACTTTGGTGTCTACTTTTGCTATATTATTTTACCCTTTCATGGTATTCTAAGGAATAATTTCCGACCCTTTAAACCATATATATTCTTGATCAGCATAAACAATCGAATTGATCTAGTCATGTCTAATAGAAAACTAAATTTTTGAAAAATTTTTTTTTCCAAATTTTCAAAATTAGATAAGGTTACATCGTTAAAATGTGAAAAAAATTGAATTTTTTGAATTTTTAAATTCAGTATGCAGATTTGTTAACCTTATAAAAACTAACGCAGAGAAGCATTCCAAATTAAATTTTAAGCACTTTTGTCTTAGTTGTGATCTACATGTAAGCTTTAAGGCTATACAAAAAGTTTTCTTCCAGATCATATTAACCTTTCATGTTTCACTTTTAAATTAATAACAGTCTTAATGATTCACCTTTTAAAATTATTTGAAATGTAAACAAAGCCCAGCTCAGATGTTTAAATTATCATCAGGGGGCTGGCTCTGCTCTACCTGATAAGAATGAATACGAAAAATCCCCTATCTTTAGTGTTATTCCAAATATAATTTATTATTAAATCACTTTACTATATGATCAGGCGTACATAGTCTTGGGACCTGGCCTTTGTATCGGCGAATCGTAAATAAAGGGGCGGGGTTGGGGATTCGGATTCCTGAAGGGACTGTTACCGGGTCCAAATCCAGGTCCAGATCCAGGTCCAGTGTGACGAGAGGGCGAGGCATCGCCAGGAGAGGGCAGGCAACCCAAAATAGCCAAGATAAGCAAACAGCAGAGTCCAAGGAACTTCATTGTAGAGCAAACGCTGAGATGTTTCTGAATGCTAGTCCCACGGAAGCTGGGGGTTTTTATAGCTGCTGCTGTGGATGCTGCTGCTGCTTGTTGTTGCTGCTGTTCAGGGGGAAGCCCTCGGGGGGATTTTGCTTTCCCTGAAATCACCGACTTTGGGTGGTTTCTTATCGCTTGACGGGGCATTGGGCTTTGATTTAGTGTTTTCCTTGGCTTTCCTCTTGGCCCGCTTTAGTTTCACATCAAATTCAAGGCCACGGATGCACCGGGTTAGGTCAGTGAGCATATGTTCCACACGTTTCTGTTCCTTTGAAAGCTGAAGGTAATGGCTGTCCATCAGGCCAATTTCCTAGTAAAGTTTTAAGTTAATTTTGATATATTATAGTCTATATATTAAGGGACTTACGTGCCTCAAATCATCGAGTTTCAGTTGTTTTTGTATACGGCCATGATCGGGCAGGACAACCAGGTAGCTCCTGATAAGTTTAAGGCTTTTTATATCTTTATAATTATATAAAACTCACATACCTAATAATATTGCCTCTTAAATAATTCAAAACCGATCGAAATATGGTGTTCATGGTCGCTTTAAAATCCTATATTCATAAAAATTCGAAAGAAAACCTACAAATTTTTATATTATGTTTAAAATTTGATATTTTTTTCAAAGCCAGGCGGCTGATCAGAATTTAAGGTAAAAGACAAACGAATTTTAAAATATTATTTTTCACATAAAATGTTTTTACATGTTAATAAGATTTCGTAAAATGCCATACATCAGCCTAAGAGTATGCTTTGGCTTACTTCAGACCTAAAAACAAAATTAATGTAGACTTTCATGTAGATAAGATTTATAATATTGAAATAATAAAAACAGAAAGAGAAATTAAAATTTATAAGAGCTGCCTTAACTCTCGGAGGGCCTTTTCCATATCATTCAGGACTATTAAAAGGTTTTCAAGTACAATTTTTGACTTTTCCGTGAGACGATCCTTTTTCCGCTCATTAATTAGGCCCTGGAAAGATCTGATACGTTTTATCAATGCCATAATCCTAGCTTTTTTATCGGCATCAACATGTAGTCGTGTCTTGAAGGATGTGTATTAGTTAGATTTTAAAGGATTATGACAGGAATAACATACCCCATGCTTTGACTCGAGGCATCTGTTATCCTGTAGACCATTTAAAGCGAAAGAATAAGGGCGCCAATTTCTGTTTAAAATTTTGACATAATTATACACACAACCATTGGTATTCGGACTGTTTTTAAACCAGTTTTTAACCAGGACATCGCTGGACTTGACCAAAAGAAAGGTTTTACCAGCCCCCCGGAGCATATTGGCAGCTTGCAGGAAAAAGTTTTAAAGACTACATTTTGAAGTAAATTCCATAGACTCTTTGATTTATATTTCCTTAAATAATTTTAAAATTTTAATTGCTCATTCTTAATGTTCGGAGGGCATCTTTCAGGTCCTTTAGGATCTCATTCATTTCATCTAGGGCACTCTTTGCCTCCGCTGACTTTAACATTTGCAAAGCCTTGATCTTATTTTGGATGCCTTCGATTTGTGCAGTTAACTCCATGATCCTGGCCTCTTTACCTTTATTCACTTCAAGTAGTTTCTGCCGGGAAAAATATGTTTCAATTAGGGAAGATCTTTTTTAACACTAAGATACATACAACATGGTAGGGTTTAATGCCTCCATTATCCTTGCCGCCTTGATAAATGTCGCTAAAGCGACAATACCTATAGGAATATATCATTTATAAGGGAAATTAATGGTTATGAGATACTTACCTTATTTTGGTGTTAGCTAAGACATTGGTGGTTTTAAGCAAACACAAAACCCTAGATGCCCTCCGAAACATGATGCTTACTTAACAGAAAATTTTCCCTTAGTGAATTTTGTCTATATTTTTTTGATGATGATTTTTTCTCAGGTAACATTGTTTAGTTTGGTTTTTGCTTAATATAGTAAATAATAAGAGACAGTTTAAGAAGCCAAGCAATTACCAATAGAATCATGGTTTCGAAGGTGAAATCGATCATAACTAAGCCGAAGATGCATAAATTATTAATACATATATATATATATATGTTCCTTTAATACCACATAAATCAATAATCGTAGTTAGCTTCCTGTTTTTTAATAATATAATATTATTATGCCAGTGAATAGCTCACGCTCTCTCCCTCTTTCATTCTCTGTCCCTCTCTATGCTCTAGCTGAACATGTTTTTCTGACTCCCTCTCGAGCAATCCCTCACTCTCTAACTCTTGTTCTCTTGCTCACACTTTCTCTGCTCTCTTTCCTCAGGGACTATAAATACAGCCACAGATGGCACGCTGGCTTCAGTCTGTTCGCGGCTTCCCCGCTGTAAACATCTATTGTGTTAGTGTAGTGGTAGTGTTGTGATAGTGCTTACCCTTGGACTCCACCTGACCAATGGAATACTTCTGGATGACCAGGAAGCGGATTATTTGGATGATACCATGGATAATTTAAAATAATAAAATAAATCTACACTGGAAGAATCTATGAAATGGCGAATATGGGGTAAGTCTTAACAATCACAATTATATCATGTACAAATATAGATGCTATAGGTGAAATCAGGCTGAAGTCTAGAATGATCTGTTCTAGCTATGCATTCCCTTATTGGTTAATTTTAGTTTAAGGTGATAAAGCAATTTTTTTAAGACATCTACAAACGTATATTCAAAGCCTAATTAATTCTTAACTTAACTTAAGTGTTCAAGAATATTGAAAATCCAATACATATTTTTATTTGCCATCAAGATCTTAATCAATAACAAATAAAAATAAAATTCCACAAAATATAAATTTATTTATACACATATAATGCATCCAAGTAATCCCAACCCCTTTTGCTACTAGTTCATAAATTCGTTCACATCACACAACAACTTGTACACTTTTCAGGCTCACAAGTAATTCTAGCTACACTGATTTTTTTTAAACCATATACTCTGTTTTTTTATAAATCTTCTGTGATAAGTAAGAAACTTAAAGATGCCTTGCGACGTCTTTACCTTTATAAGAGCAGCCAGTGAGCTGAGCTCCACGGCTTTACTGATCATGGTCGGCTGCATGGGAGATGCCATGAACAAGAATAGTGAGAATGCCTTCCTGGTTATTAGGTAACTAGCTTTAAACTATGTATTTTCGTTTAGATTTCCTTAATTTTGCTTATAATTAAAAATCAAGCTTGCATAATGGCCTTATGGTGATGGTGGTTATGCACATCTTTGGCTTTTTATCCGGCGCCCATGCAAATCCCTGTGTGTCGATATCTTGCTACTTCATGGGCTACTTGGCCTACAATTTGATGGTGATGTATGTGGCCTGCCAGGTGCTGGGAGCTGGTCTGGGTTACTTCCTCCTGATGCTGGTTCTGCCCCAGGAAGTGGTGGACCAAAGCAAGCCGGCTGTTTGCCTGAGGGAACCCATGGAGAGTCTGACTACCATTCAGATTGTGGGCATTGAGTGCCTGTTGACCTCGGTCTATGTTTTGGGATGCTGTGCCTTCTGGGATGTACGGAATGGTCGGTACCTCGACTCGGTCAGTCTTCGTATGGGACTTCTAGTGACTGTCTGCAGCTTTGCGGGGGTGGGTTTAGGGATTTCAATTAATCCAGTTAGATATATTTATAGTTTCCTTTCCTTGTCAGGTTCAATTAACTGGAGCCTCTATGAATCCGGTCAAGACACTTGTTCCTTCCCTATTCCTAGGCAATCCCGCCCTGGTTTGGATGCAACTAACCGGTCAGATATTGGCTTCGATTATGGTGCCCATTATCTGGCAAAGTACCTTTATGCCACGCTACAGGCCCCTAGAAATGCCCATTTAAACAATTTCACCTCAAGCTGTAACGTAACGAAAACGTAAAGGAGGGCAATAAACGTAAGGTCGGCATTTTGTGGCTACCGTGTGTGTGGTTTATTTGATCAAGTGAATGTGCAATTAAATATTAACGATAAGCTAAATTGCGGTGGCATGGAAGTAATCTCTCTCAGATAAGCATTTATAAAGTATCATTTACATTATGATTATGACAGCGTACAACGATGGCACTGCCGCCATAAGATTTCATTTAAGGTATTTATTTTTGTACAAACTTAAAAACTAAAACCGCATTCAACTTAAACGATAAAATAGGGATTATATCCCCTAAATCCTATCTATGCGAACTCTGTCTCGGAGGTACGTTTCGTCGACATTGTGGTTTCTTCCAGTTCCGAGTCCTCGTTCACCTCTCGCCGGAAGGCATACTTGTATATCACAGAGGTAACCAGGGATCCGGTCATGGGTCCCACCCAGTAGATCCAGTGATTCTCCCAGGCTCCATTCCAAATGGCCGGGGCAAAGGATCGGGCGGGATTCATGCTGGCACCGGTTAGTTGGCCCTGTTTTTTGGATGAAAGTAATTTGTTAATAATTAATGGGGTTTTTATAGGGGAAACCTTACAGATTTCTGGACATTAAATTTATAGTTTTCTATCTTAAATTACTATTTAGTTTTCTTTTCTTAAAAATTCTCTTTATATTTATATATTAACCTATGCATACTCTTTTGCCTCGATTATACTATATATTACCTGATTTTGACTTATCTAGAAAGTAATAAAACTGATACTGTGTCAAGTTTGAAAGAATGTTATCTTCCCTAATAATTAACTTGAATTTGGACTGATTGCTTTTAGAATTCAATATATTATTCATATATTGATAAGGAATTTGTATAAGCATAAAGTGTAGAAATGTCATTTAGATTGGGTAAAGGTTATTCGCAACATCGATTAATGTTCTTAAATATATATAAATCTAATGCAAAGTGGATAGAAAGATTTAGTAATGGATGTGAATAATATTTTATCAAGAAATCAGTTTATTCTTTAACTAAACTTGGTATAAGATAAAGGAAATTTCCCAATAACAAATTCAAACTTAAAAAAAAAAAAAACTAAGAAGTATTCTGATTATGATTCTGATTTGATTCTGGGAAATTCTTTTAAGAAATGACAGCTAAAATAGGTAAAGCTTATTGAAGACTTCAACTAATATAGTTCAAGCTATTCAAAAAATATATGTTTACAATCTAATTTGAGGAGATCTTAATATAAACCTTAAAAAAAAACCTACCGCCGTGAGTGATAAACAGGAAATGGCCAATCCAAACCGCACTGGCACCGAGTCCTGTTTCGTGGCATTCCTGGGATCCCAGACACCGCAGCAAATGGAGATGAGGACGCAGGTGATCAGGAACTCGATGGCCAAGCCCTGCCAGCTCGTCAATGTGCTATCCACAGATGTGAGACACACTCCATCGGGTGTATCCGTGCTATAGATGGCATTCTCGGGAAGCACAGCCTTGAGCAGGCCATAACCAATGAAGGCACCCACCATTTGGGCCACAAAATAGGCCAGGGCCAAGGGCAATGAGATCATATCATAGACATAGGTGGCCAAGGTGACTGCTGGATTCAGGTGAGCGCCACATACACAGCCAAAGCACTGGATGCAGATCAACACCACAAAGCCAAAGTTGAGGGCATTCTGGAAGCTCGAGTTGGTGAACACCGAATTCTGGACACAGCCCATGCAGCCAAGGAACATCAACATGGCGGTGGCTATCATTTCGGCCATCACTGTGGAGATGTTGTCCAGCTGACGGCGCTGAAGCAGCCAGCAGGATGAGCGGCTGAAAAAGAGAGATAATCATTAATTAGTTAATTTATTATATATTTTTATACCTATTCAGGGTATTCTGGTATTTTAGTCAGAAGCTTAGAAAACACTGAAGCAGTCATTTCCGAACCTATAAATGATATATTATATCATATTCTTGATCATCATTAACAGACAAATCGATCTAGCTATTTAGAAAACTAATTTTCTCGATTTTTTCAAATAAATATAAAGGGTTACATTGTTAAAATTGGCCAAAAATGTTATGGTTTTAAACCGAGTATGCAGATTTGTTAACCTATTAAAAACTAACATAGGAAATCTTTCCGAATGAAAATGAGTGTATTTTTGGCTTAGTTATGAGTTTTTAAACTTTGATTTGTAGAAAAAAAAGTCATATAAAAATGTCTAGAAATATTGATTCCAAGAATTCGAATATTTTAAGCTAAGTTATGATCGATTTCCGATACGATCCTATACTTAATTTGCAAACTGCAAGGGTATTTGAACTGCAGACACCCGAGTTGCCTTTCTTGTTTAATTTAAAGTATCATTCATTTAAAGATAAAGAAATAAGTTAGTAAAGCTATTTTATATAATAATAGAAAAAGGGACAATTCAGTTGTTATGACACATTAATCATCCAGATAATTTATAAGATTTTAGGAAATAAACAAATAGTTATATATCATGCGGACTTCGAGTGTCTAATAACACTTAACGAATTGGTTGATGTCACCAAACTTGAAAAGGTTCTTGTCTATTAATTGCTAATAAATAAGGCAATTATTGTATAAAAATAAACTCGTAATCACTTTAGAAATAAATTAATTAGCCTTATTAGCGAGAGAATTCTTGGACACACATTTGGAGTTCATTGAAAACAGAATTCCTTGTCACAATTGAAGTCCTTTTTAGTGGCGAATTCTTTGAGCTAAAACTTAATAACTTTTTTACTTTCAAGTTGCACTTTTTGTTTTGTTTAAAAATCACCTCGTGGTCGTGGCCATTATGGCTGTGTAAAAGTGATCGCTGCGGTTAACCCGAACGTGAACGTGGTTCAACTTGGACTGGAGTGCACTCCACTAGATGGCTCAATGGGTGCGGATCATATGCCATATACATATATGGTTGGTTCTTAATCGCCGGCAATCTCGTAGAGTAATTATCAGGCCTTCTAATCGTCTCGAGTAGAGTTGAGTTATCAGGCGGCAGACCGTCCTATATACTATATAAACATACATATATACAGCTGTATTTGCTCAAGTATTGCCGAACATATTCGGTTTCGTGTTGCCCATTCACCTGACGTTTAACTTTTGCACTTGTGTTTTGGTTCAGAGATAAAGTAAGACACTTAGCATTACAAAAACATAAAAAATTCCATTGATGAATGGTTTAGTTGGAGGTTTAAGAGTAAATAACTATCATCATGCCTGGCAATAGGTTATCAGCAATTCGGCCATTTAAAGGTTGACCTTCTGAGCAACTTTATCAATGAATATATTACTTTAATCTTCTTTATAAATATTGTTGTTTCTTTTTGGGTTTCCAATTCATTTGTGTGCTTATTTCTATCACACACACACACAAGCCAAAACAACGAGCCCCCGAAAATTCGAAAATATATTCCATCACCCCAAATGTATGCTAGGAAATCGTGTTCTAAATATTAACTGCTTTAATATTTAATTTTTAAGAAATAAGTAGAAACTCTGTAAGCATTGGGGTGGCAATCCTTACAGTTATCCTTACTTTTATCGATATACCCATGTGGGCTTATCGATATATATATATATATAAGCAAGCCACACTGTCAGTCCGATTTTACCTTTAGTTGAGTTGTGCGATATAATTTCATTCGTCTTGTTCCCTTTCAAGGAAACAGTTCTCTAACCAGTGACGAATATTTTTTTGTAATTCCGTTCTTTAATTTGCTTGACATAGTTTATTTTGTTAGAGAATCAGTTAAAAAATAATGCTATGGTTTCGGGTTATTATTATTCTTTCAAGTTTATTTTTTGAAATTAATTTTGTTAAATAGAATGCTCATATATTTTCGTTTGTATTACCCTCATTTGGTACCTTGACATTTTCAGCCTGCTCCGAAGCTGCGATCCCTATTAATTTTTGTTATTGGAATTTTAAGGTCCGAGAATAATATCTTGCCGCTGTTCACTGTCGGGTCTTATCGTCATTATCATTATTCGTCAGTCTTTACTAATTTTTAATTTATATTTTTTATTTTCATAAATGAATTTGTTTTAATGAATACCCATTTCATTATGTTAATTTGAACAATAGATTTATTTAAAGAAACTTCCAATTATATCTCATGGAACTGGCATATTATTCCCCTGTCGGTTGCTTGACCATTTCTTCTCTTTCTTTTCTTTTTCCTCAGTCCTTATTAATTTTTAATATTTACTTTGCATATTGAATTCTTTTTTTTATGAATATTCATTTAATTATGTTTACCTGAACAATAGGTATATATTTATTTCACTTATGACTAGTACGTTAAGTTCATTGAATGTCCCTATAGTCTCTCAGGGAACTGCATCCCCAATCATTCTCATCTGGGCATTCGAAATCGTCAGGTCGATCTCTTCGTTACCCTTGAAGCAGACCCTGTAGACCACCGAGGTCACCGCTCCGGCTACCAACGGACCCACCCAATATACCCAGTGAGCCGCCCAGGAGTTGTTCCACACTGCTGGTCCCAGTGATCTCGTTGGATTCATACTCGCACCCGTAAAGAGACCCTAAAAAATATGCAAAAAAATAAAAACCTTAAGTTAAAGTTTCGACTAAATACCTCGAGGGATACTAACCGCCGTGAGGATCAGACAGGACACTGTTAGACCAAATTTTACGGCCACCGAGTCCTGGAAACGTTTATTCCTTGGATCCCACACCGAACAGGCCACCATAACCAGGCAACAGGTGATCAGGAACTCGATGAACACGCCCTGCAGCTCACTGATCTCGGGAGCCAGGACAGTGACGCAAGCACCGGCAGGATTATCCACACCCTTGATGGCATCCTCGGGCAGAACGGCCACCAGGAGACCATAACCAATCAGAGCTCCCGCCGCCTGGGCGATAAGATAAGCAATGGCCTTGATCCAACCAATTACGCCATAAATCCAAGCAGCCAAAGTGACAGCCGGATTAAGATGGGCACCGGAAACGGAACCGAAACACTGAATGGCTATAAGTATGGCCAGGCCGAAGGTTAATCCGCTCCGGAAGTGCGAGTTGCCAAAGAACGGGGTCTGGACACAGCCCATGCAGGCCACAAAGACGAACATGGCGGTGGCCACCAGTTCACCAAAGAAGCAAGCAATGGCCACACGATGGCTCTCTTGGACTCGCCACCTAACCGGAGAATTTGTGCCAAATTTGGACTCTTGCGACTTTTGCTTCTGTTGCGACATGCTGACTGAACTCGACTGCTGGAAACTACGGAGTTCGCTACTCGCAGCTCCGAGCTATGCCTCACAAATTGGCCACAATGGCAATCAATCAATATCCATTATAAAACCTTAATGCTAATTATCGAGCGCAGATTTCGGGGCAGACACCACCAGACCCCCAGATAGATCAATTCATCAGTAAGGGGGGCTTTTCTTTCTGGCATTTTTGGGGGCTTTGCTCAGCCGTAATTATCGTCCTGATAAGCGCCACTGCCGATTTGCGCTCAATCTTATCTCATTAAGATTTTTATCGAACGGCGTACGGGGCGCCAAGCCTTGGACAATACTTCTTGGGAACACAGTTCACCTCTTGCCCTTCCTGCAAGGCCTGACTATATAACATTTCATAACTAAGCCCCTCTGATTTCCAGGGTTTTCCAAGAGTTCCACAAGTTCGTTGTCGGTAGTCCAATTTAAACTCACTAAAATGCCATAATTCTGGGCAATACGTACATCATTTATAGTCTCTTGTGTCAAGATAGTATTACTACTTTAAGTTGTTCTGTAAGTCTTTAGTTAGCATTTTGATTGGTCGATTTGCTGGCACTTAAAATATTAAATACAAAAAAGTATGACTTAGTTTAAGGGGCAGTGTGTGTGGCCTAACAATGGTTGTGTCCAATGACAAGGTTTTTTCTGTAAACTAATTGGACTTTGTTACATTTCTATAAATACAACCATACTCTGATAATAAAGCAAAGAATCTGTTTCAAATCGAAACGAAAATCATAAAAATCTTGATGACTATATTGATTTTTGGAAATTGTGAACATTGTGAATTAATTGATATCAAATTTAACTAAATATTTGGAAACGGTTATTAAATGTTCATTATAATATAATAAATATGAAAAATATTGAAAAATGTTAGCAATTTTAAATATATCTATTATTATTTATTTATTTATATTATTATTATTTTATTTTATTGATTACGATTCTTGGCCTTCGAAAACCACCAAGAAAACCTAAAACATGTGTATTTTAGGTATATACATAATCGATATTTTAATATGCTAATTTTTTGGCTAATTCGTAATTTTTGAAATATCATAACTTTGCCAAAAATGCATTAAATTAATTTTGGACAAATTTTCTTTGCTAGTTTTTAAAAGGTTAACAAATATGCATACTGAGTTTTAAAATTCCAAAAATTAAATTTTTTGCCTAATTTTGACAATTTTTAACGATGTAACCCCTTTTAAAATTTCGAAAAAATTAACAAAAATTTATTTTCTACCAGACATGGCTTAATCGATTCGGCTTTTCATACTGATCAAGAATATATATGATTTATAGGGTCGGAAATGATTTCTTCACTTTGTTTTAAGCTTCTAACTAAAATTATAATACCCTTTTAAAGGTATAAAGATGAGTGCTCAGTAAGACTATATTTCAATTCAAAATATTGTTGTTTCGAATGGAAAATATATATTTGGTTGTTATATGCAATAATTATTATTTGAAAACCCCAATTTTTGTTTAGAATATTTTAGAAATCTCGATGTTCTTTATTACAATTGAAGGCAATCGGGGTAAATACCATGAAATTTATATGTAGTTGCTTTACGCTCTTTTGAAACATATAAACCCTTGGCAAAACTCCCATTATAATAGCGTACAATGAATGCATTAATATAAAATTCGGCGTCTTAGATTAGATGTAAATTAGTTAAGGCTCTCTTTCCTCCTACAGCAATGTGTCTTTGGCATCTACGACAGCTGGACATCCTCCAGGTGGCGCAGCTTCTCATTGGCGGAGATCTCCGCCTCGACCACCTCGCGGCGGAAGACGATCTTGTAGGCGTAGGCTGTGAGGGCGGCAGAGCTCAAGGGAGCCAGCCAGTAGATCCAGTTCTTTTCGAAATGGTTGTTCCACAGGGCGGGGGCAAAGGACCTGGCCGGGTTCATGCTGGCGCCAGTGAAGGGACCCTAGAAAAAGGAGTTTTCAAATTTAAATAGAGATAGAGAAGTTGTCCTTAAGTTATCCTCGAACTTACCGCAGCACAGGCCAGACAGGCAATGGCCAGACCAAAGCGAATGGCCACCGAATCATGGAACTTGGCGTTCCGGGGATCCCAGACGCCGCAGCAGACAATGACCAGAATGGAGGTGATCACAAACTCAATGCCAAAGCCCTGGGCATCCGTGACAGTGGCATGGGGCAGGGTCACGCACAGACCAGCACCCGTGTTAATGGTCTCCACCGGCAGCAGAACCTTCAGCAAACCATAGCCAATGAAGGCGCCCAGCAACTGGGCCACAACGTAGGCAAAGGCCATCCGGAGCGTGACCATGTCGTAGATATAGGCAGCCACTGTCACGGCAGGATTCAGATGGGCACCCGAAACACAGCCAAAGCACTGGATGGCAACCAGGACAGCAAAACCAAAGTTAAGGACAATCTGGAGATGATTGTTGGCAAACAAGTCCGTCTTCACACAGCCCATGCAGCCAAGGAAGACCAGGATGCCGGTGCCGATGAGTTCGCCCAGGAAGGCAGAGATTTTGTCCAGCGTCGAACCCTTCATTTTGAGTACCTTACAGCAACTGAAATGGGGTCGCAAGGAAATGGTTACAAAAAAGCTAAAACTAAAGAGCCAAAATGAATAAAAAAAACCAACCCCCTTTCCTGTTACGCACTCTCTGCTCCCTGCTTAAGCCAGTTCACCATCAATCATATCGTATCTCTAACCATTGTATCGTTTTCCCCCTAAGCTTTTCAATTATATTTTAATCTGGCGACATGCGTTTACAATTAGCTGATACTATATACTATATACCATATCTTTATCTTACTTTAGAGTTTCTTAAAGACCTTTTCTTTGGTTCCTCTTGAGGCAGTGGTTCTGGGGTAATATCTGAACTATTTCCACCCCCTGGAGATCCACAGACATCCCCTGCTGCTGCTGCTCTTGTTCGCGGTTCATTGACATATCATCGATTTTTCCCACTTGAATATAACTGATTTTTGTTGATCAAAAACACAAATTCACGATGCGCACATTGGCATTGTTAGAAAGCAACTGAAACCAGATTAGCAGGGAGCGTGTATGTTGCTCCACTGGATGTACTATAACCTACTATATTTAACAGCGACTCTTGCGATTGCCTCTTCAGCTGTCAATTGTCGAGTTCGTAGATAAATTGCCGAAAAAAAGGCAAAATCAAAGTATTGCCATAAAACAATAGACCAATCTTTGTCACTCTTATCAATTGTGGAGGAGGACCACTCGAGGTAGACCCCAAAAAAACAAACTAAACAACTTAATCCATTTATATTGCGTTTATCTGTATTTTCGATTTGTGATCAGTTCACATACTTTTGGGAGACTCTAGGAGGGAAACAACATAAGAACTAAGTGGATTTTGTGTACATATCTTGAAGTATCTTGTAAGATATATGTTTAGGAAACTAAAAACCCACAATCACAATTTTCTATAAGATATATAGATAAAGATGTACTAGTTTTTGTACTCAATACTCTTTATATAACATGTCATTATAAATATATCATTTACTAAAGAGTTCTGTCTTTTTAACATATATTAAAAAAATATATTATTTTATAACTTTCTTTCTGTTCACCTATAAGAATATAAAGTTTATGAACTTATATTCTTATAGAACATAAAGTTGATAATGATCTAAGATTCCAAAACATACTGATTTGAATGTACTTCTTATGAACACTACGCAGGTTTTTAATATATATTTCGTTTTGAATTTACTTCTTCAAATTATATTCTTAAAATTCTTCAAATTTATGCATTTAAAAATCACTCAACGCTTTTAAATATTCTTAAGAGTCTTATATATGTTTATATATTTTCTTGAAACTCTCTTTTGAATTTTATTTCTGGGCATATTCTTTTAGGAACTGCTATATTTATGGATATATTATCTGTTCATATTATTTTAAGAATTGTTATTTCTTGATACATTTAGAATATTCGTACACCTTTTAAACATGATTTCAATCATTCATGGTTTTCAAAGATTTGAATATTATTTCTTGAAACTTTTTTTCTTTAAAGAATTGGTATTTCTTCATATTTAAATATATTTATAATTATTTTTCTTCCATATTTCTTCAAGAATTTGTATTTCTTTATATTTATGTAGATATATTTTCTTTTTTTTATATATTTCTTTTAGGATTTGTATTTTTTATACAGTTCCTGTATTTATTTATTATTTCTGTCAATTTCATTAAGAAAATTGGCTGCTCTTTAAATATAACCCGTTTATTTTAATGATAAATATTTACCGTTCACGAATTTCGCGGCTCATTTTGACACTTGTCTGCGGTTTATTATTTCTTCTTTTAATTTAAAATCTTAACAAAAAATCACACTATATATTTTGTCTTAATCTTGTTTCCAACGGTTGGCGCGCGGAGCGAGTGCTGAATTTACACAGCGACTGCGGGACTGTCAATGTCAATCTGAGGCGTTGGAGTCGCCAAAGACAAATATTTATATCTATATCTATATAATATTGCGTAAATCAAAAGCCCATTTTTAGCATCCGTGTGGCGAGAGAGTGAGAGCACAACACACACACACACTAGTAGCTAGGGAAAATTAGCAAATCCTACTGCCGGCGGAGCATAAAAAAGTCAAGTGTCCAGAATTTATGAGCATCTTAAAAAGCGAACGCTGGCCGCTCTCCTAGTCTCTTCTGCTCTCTCTGGGCCATAATCCCCATCTCTGGAGGAATATAGTAAAACAAGAAAGGAAGCTAAATTCGGCACGCCGAAGTTTATATACCCTTGCAGATAGAAATTCTATGACTAGGAATCCATACAATATAAATTATATATATTTGTGTTAAAAAACAATGAAGTAATACCTGCTTTCATTTCATTCACCTATACATATTATATTTGCAGCTTTTCGTTCACAGATTTCCATTTTTCTTCTACATCAAACAATAGTTTGTATGGCACCTATATGATATAGTCGTCCGATTTTCATGAAATTTGACACAAAATTTAAGACTAATATAAAATGGCTACACCTCAAATTTGATGAAAATCTGTTGAAAACTGAAAAAGTTATAATTTTTAATTGTATTAATTTCTCTATCGTTCCTATGGGAGCTATATGATATAGTAGTCCGATTTTCATAAAATTTTACACAAAATTGTAGAGTATAATAAAATGGCTATATCTCAAATTAGATCCAATTCTATTGAAAACTGAAAATGTTACAATTTTTTTTGTAAAAATTTTCCGATCATTCCTATGGCAGCTATATGATATAGTCGTCCGATCCGGCCCGTTCCGACATATATACGAGTGAGAGTATATAGAAGGCTAACTACAAAGTTTCATTCAGATAGCTTCAAAACTGAGAGACTAGTTTGCGTAGAAACGGACAGACGGACAGACGGACAGACGGACAGACGGACAGACGGACAGAAGGACAGACGGACAGACGGACAGACGGACAGACGGACATGGCTAGATCGACTCGGCTGTTGATCCTGATCAAGAATATATATACTTTATATGGTCGGAGGTGCCTCCTTCACTGCGTTGCAAACTTCTGACTGAAATTATAATACCCTGCAAGGGTATAAAATATACATATATAGTATATGTATATTGTAAAAAGTGTGAGAAATAATATAGATAAAGTATAGATAATATTCCAGTTGGGGAACGTTAAGCAGATGCCAGGCCACTTGAACTTGAGAGTGATCTCTGAACTGCGATCATTATATTTTATTTTTGAGAATTTTGCAGAACATTAGGAATGAATTTTATTGATTTTTAATGCTCTTGGAGATTAGGGGTTTTTATATAATATTTATAAGTACTCCTAGATATAGATATATATTTTAAAAATATATATAACTGTCTGGGCGTTTCCTAATGCTGAGCTGTTGAGTTTCTATCTTCTTTTTATGTGAATTTTAATTATTTTAAGTATTTCTTTAATGAATCATAAATAATTTTAATTACTCCCTTAGAGGTAATGTTAGTAAATAAATTATTGGATAGAATCGGAAATCGATCATAACTACCCTTAAAGTATTCCCATTCCTTGAGTCAATTTTTTTTCGAAATTTTTTTATGACAATTTTGTTGTCAAATCAATGTTTAAATATATCAGAACTAAGCCAAAAATGCATTAATTTTTATTCGGAAAGCGGTCATATGTTAGTTTTTATTAGGTTAATAAATCTGCATATTCAATATAACATTTAAAAGATTCAAATTTTTTCGATTTTTTTTTGACAATTTTAACGATGAAGCCCCTTATAAAATTTTCAAAATTTTCAAAAAATTAAATTTTGCCTGCACATAGCTAGATTGACTCTGCTTTTGATGCTGATCAAGAATATATATGATTTATAGGGTCGGAAATGACTATTTTAGAAGTTACACGCTTCTGATTGAAATTATAATACCCTAGGAAGGGTATATAGATTCCTCTTACTACAATATAGGAAAACTATATTTTAAACACGATAAAAAAGTACTTAAACTATAAAAATATGTTATTAAAACTCTGAAACATTAATAACATATTATTATACCATTTTTTCTGGAGCATGAATAGAGGGGGCGGTGGGGTGGGTGGAATCAGGGTCTCAATGTGTGCGAATGCGTGACGCTATGTTGCTGCTGCTGCGAACAATTGAAGCTGCAGCAACTCGCACCAGATTGATAACAGAGTGACCGACACTATCAATTACCACGGTCGATCCGATCCCTATCAATTGCAATTGTCAATTGCAGCAATTGAAGTTGCACTGCGTGCTATTTGCGGCTACGCAATGTTGTGACAAACAAATCACGGCAAATCTCAGCACGGGCTGTCGATCAAATTGCACGCAATTTGCGTTAAATGTCTCAATAACAATTGGAGCGATTGAGGCAATAAATTAAAATTAAAAAAATAAATAAATAAATAAATGTGTTTGCGAGCTATACAATTGCATAAGTGCGACACGATAGCCCAGGTGAACTCGGAGAATTTTACTGCCTTTGTAGAATATTCAAATGACCCTCACTGACCTCGCCTAATATTATATACAATTACTTGTAGCTTTCTTTCATTTTGCATTTATATTTCCTTTTGCTTTCTCTAACAATTGCTGAGAAAAACGTTTTGGCTTTTGGCCAAGAGCAAATGTTTGGCCAACTTATTGACAGTTCTGCGCTTGGCAGAGAGCGACACGTTTTGGCATAAGGCATAAGGTATTAAAAGTCTAAACAATAAACACGCGATGGACTCAAAAATGTTAAAAATAAATCACACGGATTTGTTACGCATCTCCACATCGAATGTTAATAATTTAATTACCACCTACTATATACTTTTTTTATTACCATATATGTATATATATTTAACACATGCCCAGAAGGATCACGTATCATTCATGGGATCGATGCATGGGCCACGATCATCGATATAGCCTTAGGGCCCTAATTGCCGGATGATACCTCTTAATTGTCATAATCTATTCTCATTGCCTGGCTAAGTGATGGAACGTGACTGGGCGGTTCTATTACCATATTTTTTCGGCGAGATCTAACCATATATCTGTATACATATTTTAACAACGGAAGTTGACTCTGTTAATTAGCAGAGAATCCCGAGCTTTTCCTGAGCCACAAGCTTCATCGGGAGTTAGTCAGAGGAGGCTATCAGTTAGCTTTATTTTAAAGCTTCTACGAAGAGCTTCTAGCTCTAGAAGCTTCCTTATCACTTATCAGTTAGTTACTTTGTTTCATTTTTTGTAAGAACGTGCATTTTGGTTATCGCCCTGCCATAAAAGTTTAGCCAGAAGCTCATCGTAAAAAAAACCTGTTGTTAGCCTGAAGAGCCACTAATCAATCGGCGATATTTGCCATACTATATGTGTCGTTATAGTTATTGTTTGCCTGCTTAAGAAGTGATTTTTACGTTGTGCTTGTTGTGGCCCATAAACTATAAACCACAACCACTGTCATCGAGCCAACAGGTGATGGCTGTGATAAGCGATAAGCGACGGCACCTGAGTGATGATGATGCGGCGGCACACTAATTCGATCGGCTTAATTTGGCCATAATTGGGCCAACTCAAATCGGATTTGAACGTCAGACTTTTGACATCGCCCGGCATTTATAATGGCCATTCCAAAGTCTGATAATGATTGTTGGGAGGTACCTTATTTATTCTTTGACAGAGAAACTACACTCATATCTAGTTTGTTTTTTATGTGTTTATAAGTTGTGCTTCCAGAGGAAGGGGTGTACTTTTACTACGACTATAAACTCATAAAATTATAACAATACAAAATGGTATATATATTTATATATTTGTTTAATTTCTGCTCTGATAAGAGGTAGAAATATTTGGCACGTGCAAAATGAAAATGAAAATTAGGACAGTTTAAAAAAAAGAAACAAATAACTTTATCGTAGTGAACTTATAGTAAAAGTGTAAGAGAATATTTAAATATAAATGCACTTATCTTTTACAATTGAAAGACCAGAAACTATTTACTATAAATAGATATAGATATGAATATAGATATAGATATGCCAGAAAAGCATTACAACGAAAATCGCTTATAACAGAGTCGAAATGAAATACACATTGCTTTTTTTGCAATGTGTTCCATTTTGTAGCACATTGTTTTAAAGATTTAAAATATAACTTCATTTATATTTAAATTTAAATATATTTATAAATATATTTTAGAAATATATTTACTAAAACTCTTAGTCATACAATTGTATTTAAAACATATCGAGTATCTCCTAGTCATAATATTTCCCTATTTCCATTTCCCATTTCAATTGTCAAGCAAAGAGTAATTGAAGCTCAATACGATCTATGGCGGAAGCTTTAGGTTTCCATTGATCTGGCTGCAGCCTCCGCCTACCGTGGAGCCACGGCTCTTATCTATCCTCCGCTTCTTATCAGCCAGAAATGGCAAGTGTTGACGCTCGGGTTGCGCAATTACAGACTACCTCGGGGCATAGGCCCAATTAATTTATGGGTCCGGTTATATGACCATGATTAAGGGGTAGCCGAAAAAAGAAAAAAAAAAGCTAAATAAATAAGAAGAGATCTCGTACCTGAAACAACAACAACAACAAGGTCAGGTGCGTTGAAGTTTCCTTGATTTCCCTGATTTGCGGCTAAAATTAGGGCCTCTCTTGACTTATCAGCGCACCACGAGGTTTGCCACTTGAGACTTGATTGCTCATTATTATTTGTGGAAAGCTTTACAATTATATGCCCAAGGCGGGGCAGACGGTTTCTTAATTACTAACAAATAGCTCTTTATTAGGGAACTGTCACTGATAGCGACAAACTTAAATTCCATGTGGCATTGACCTAGGCTAAGCATTTTCCACCCCCTCAGGGGCTCGATCAGCAGATTTATGGTCCGATGTGGCAAAGACTATTTATAACAAAATGTATAGAAAAGTGCAGCAGATAATGCTACCAAGTGTGTGATAAGAGCTTACTCAGCGAGAGAATTATGCAACAAAACAAGAGAATTAGAATCAAATCGCAATGGAACTAGAACTGGAGCTAAACTTTGCTCAATGACGGTCGAGGGGACCCATTGATAACCCCAACGCTCAGAGAGGAACACCTTATCAAGTGCCGGCAGGAGGAGCAACTAAGTTAATCATATTTCTGTTTCACGGTTTGCCAAGCACAAATATTCAAGCCTGTGGACTTGAATGACATCAATGGACTGTGAAAAATCACAGGGTTACAAAGTGGATTAGGAATATTATAGAGAACCGGTTTCCCGATCATATGATAACACTATAAATGATCAAAAGACCTAAATTTCCATTTAATAGAGTTATTAACTTAGCGCCAAGGCACGCGATCAATCCGGTTGATTGATTTATCAAATTTGATTAACACAAATTATCGACTAACCCGTGAGTAGTGGCCCATAATCAAAGGCATGTGTCAAAATGCTTATATAAAAAAAATCTGGTTCCAATTTGGGTTTCCATTCACAGAACCCAGAGCTGCCAAGATCAAGCTAACAACTTCTTTATCGAAACTATTTGACCTTCGAGTGAGCCGAATAAAGTGTTTGCTTGTTTGCTTTTTTGGTTCAAGCATTTCTTATTCATTTCGTGGGAGTATATGGCAAAAGTAGATAAAACCGCAGACATTCTTGAATATTTTCAAGTCTAAGCACTTAAGGTCTCAGAAACTGATCAATTTAGTGGCAAGTCTTATGCAAAAATCGCCTGATCCAAGACCTAAGGAATACATTCTCCGTGTATGCCTTTACTTATCAGGCCTTTATTTTCACTTTATTGAATCGAAGTGACCCCGGGCAATCGTGTTGCTATACTTATTTTTCAATGATAATTTTGATAAGACTTGCCCACGAGCCGTCGTCTAATTAGTATAAAAAATAGCAACAACAACAACACTACACAGTCTTGTAGCCAAAAGTGGAACAACCGACAAATGTATGCGTACATATAGTGAGTGTATGTATGTTTCTACATTTTCCAAAAAAACACACTGACACACTTTTATAAAAATAAACATTCTCCGGTAAAGAAATTGCTCAGCAAGTGTTAAATGAATGTCAAATGCACAAGAAATGATGAAAATAAATGTAGTAAACTTGGCCAGAATAAATATATACATATGTATATAAACTCGATTCCCGCTGCATTATAATTTGGCTTTGTCTAATAATTACCGGAGTGAAGGTTGTGCAACCGTGTGGGATTTACTATCTACCTATCATCAGGTGCAAATGCTAAATAATGCACATAATTACAAGTCAATAAACAACAATATTAATTAAATATAAAATGTGCAGGCAATGTGCTTAGGTGTTTCTCAATTGTTCTTCGTTAGTCCGAGATCAGGCGCCTTGGGAGTGGGTGGGAGGGTTAATACAACTTCACTTTATAGAGATACTGCCTGAATATGCAATGCTATAGACTTGAGCTATGGACAGACGATAACGAGAAATGGAAAGTTGCGGGGAGAGCGAGATAACCCATTCTCCACCGACTGACTGAATATTTGAATAAATTACACATTTATAAAGCACACGCACTCGTTTTTCTTCTGCGGTTGTACGAAAATATTCCATTAACTTGTCACAGCTTAATATTTATCACCAGGAAGCGGCTCCAGTTCCAGATATTTTTTACAAAAATATATATGTATATATAAATATAAAACAAAGCCGCCAAAAACGCGTTAAACATTTCTCGACGCCTGTCAACGAACCGCAAACCTTTTTATATCAAAAAATCGCAGCGCAGCCTTTCTTCTCTCTGCTCTTGTTTTAGGTGAATTTTAAGACAAGTTTGCTAATTATTTAACGCACACTCACAGCACGCACACACCACACACACACTCTGTAGTCACGGGGGACCAACTAACCTGCGTCGTGGTCGATCGGTTGTTTGCTATTGAGCAGAAATAAAAAACAGCCTGGAGCTAAAAAATACGCGCGATCGACTTTGAATAAAGCAGTGGGCGCTGCCGGCGTCGCAGCCAGCGTTGGACACCATGGCGTATTATTATATTGCTGCCGCATAACAAGCAGCAACAAGCAAGCAGTACACTCAGCAGCAGAGGCGGAAGCAGAGGCAGCAGCAGAGGCAGTGGCAGCGCGTCAAAAGTTTGGCGCTTATCGCTCCAGCTGCCAGTGATGCGAGCTTTTGATAGCGATAGCGGGTAATTTAATTTGTGTAAATATTAGCTTGGCATTAAGTTGGGCAGAAATACAAGTAGAAATAGCTGCGCAACCAGCAAGCAGGCCGAAGCAGTTCTAAGCAGTGCAGCGTAAAGCTAAGCAGGGTTTATACAAGCAGTTTTAAGACCAGCTTCCGCATAAGCAGTGCATATGTTAGGGAAACCATTTAACACTTCTGCTTTATTTAATTTATAGCTTGTTAAATAGTAGAAGTCATTAACGAAAAATACTTCTGAGGGTTAGTAGATACATTCTAAAATTTTTCTCAAAATTTTGTTTTGTAATTAACTTAGTTTTAGGCCTTCAGAACTTAAAGTAAAGTTCAGGATCAATTCGGGGGATTTAGAAAATTATCTCATTTTGATTAGATTATTATCTAATCAAAAATGAGATAATTTTCTAAAAATGGTAGCATTTGCATTTGTAAATATTATTGAAAACAAACCCAAAATGTTTAAACATAGAACTGAAATAGCTTAAATAAATCAGACAGCCGAAACAAGCTATTAATAACAAATGATATAAATACAATTTAATAACATACTATTACAAGCAATATAGCTTCTAATTGTTCAGTTGAAATAATTGGAAAAGACTCACCTTTCTAAAGGCAGATCTCCCAGCATTGTTTACCTAAAAATTTAACATTTAATCAAGTTAACAAAATGGTTTTAAGTACAAAGACACCCACACAATCATCACGCAGCTTGGCTTAAACAATTACAAAACCCCCTAATTCCCATATAAAATGCTAAATAAATATAATTAGGTAAACATGTTTTAGCCTCAGGCTTATTTAACTACCATTTCAAGCAATTATCGAAACTATTAAGGTAGACCGACATCAGAGTCAAATCAACAGATGACAAAATCCATGCCAGCTAACCAATGATAATCATCGTGATTATATACACTTATAGATGAAATCACTAAAATGCAATAACACTTGATATTGTTTTCGAGTGACGCACCCATTTTATTCCCTATATATCCCCAATTCCTGATAAGAGCTAGTGCTATAGTTTTTACCTATATCTGTTAACCTTTAATTGGTTTTTTATTTAGAATACACTTACCTTCAAGGTGACTGGAAAACTTACCAATAATTTCCACCAAATCACAGATACTCTCCAGATATCACTTATCTATCACTCAACGCGTCACTTTGTAGACGGATTTCCTTGTGGCCCTGACACTCGCGTGCCGCTTTGACACCGAACGGTTAGCCTTTATGACGCGCACCTTAAGCGCGACATGCACCCAATGATTTGCATAGACCATCGGAACTTTTGATGTTTGCAAATAAATTATACAAAACTATCGATCGAGGTAGAAGCAATTTAACGCGCTCCGAACGGAGATTAATATAAAATAAACTCAATGAAACCGCGACACATCAAAAGAGATGCCTTGGATGGATTGATTTTTATCCCGCCATCGATCCACTTTACTTATTTTATATAGTTAATATATATGATGGTTAATTTCTGGTCTCAGCCAGACTCTTTTCTGATTTATGGACACATCATTTTCGTCTGGCGAACGCAAAAAAACAGGTTAGACGGCCTGTGAAAAATGCAAAATAAATAAACAATTCGGCGGCATTTTGTTGTTGTTCTCTCTGCACTTTAATTCTTGGCCAAAAATACATTTTGTTTCGGTAGTTTTTCTGGTTTTTATTTCAATGAGCAGCACACTGTAAGCACGTGACGTATACGCAACGTGGCACCCGAAAGTGTGTCAAATTGTTGATGTGCGAAATAAGCAGCGAATGTTGTAATATAAATAATAATAGCAAATGAATAGCACACCTTTTGGGCTTTAGTTTGGCATTAGCCCCGCTCGTACCTCCACCTGCACTGGCACCTGTCTCGCTGCCCATCTTTATTTGTTGACCGAGAACCGTTGGCTGTTGTTGTTGCATTGACATTTCTTGGCACTTTTACTTTTAGTTGTAGTTTGTTTACTTTTCTCTAGTTTGCCTTTGTGTTTCACTTGACAGCTAATTGAATTTCCCGTTTGCAATGGTAATTTGTTGCTTGAATCCGTATGCCCTGCACAACTTCACTCGCGCTGCGTTCACTGCGTGTCTGCGCGAATTCGGACTCTTGACTCGCGGACGTTGTATCTGTATCTGCGGAACGGGTTCGTAGTATCTGTATCTGCATGCGGCAGTGCGTCGCTCAGCGTCGCCTCGCATGTGAGTTTATTTCGAACGATCGACTAACTGACTGACTGAGAGTAAACGCTGTCGCCGCTAAGCACAACAACCCATCAACATCAAATATCGCAAAAAGGCAGGCCATAAAATCAAGGCAGCAGCAATACAAAATACAAAACACAAAAAAAACTACAAGTGTTATTAGACACGATACCTTTTAATAGCCCAGGGGAGGTATATTCGATTTAGATAGGGAATAGAGTATGATCATGGGTTCAGGTGAACTTCCGCCAGGCAAAAACAGAAATTTTCCCCAACTAAATTAAGCTAGATAGTTACAGTCTATAATCTATAAGTTGCACTTTCAATAGTCCCCAAAAAAGATACTTCCAAGTTAGTTAAAGTTAGTAAAGTTCCACTGTCAAAGGTTCACCTTGAGTTTACCCTTTTGATATGAGGAGGAGACTTATCATTTCGCTGTATGTAAGACCTATCAGAAACCTTTACCTATCCATCAAGACAAATATGTCTGCACGGTATCCGGTTAGTCGAGTCCTAAAAATTTCCACTTGCTGCCTTGTGTTTTTTTCGGCTTTTGTTTTGATTCCACAGATTTTCGCTGAACTATAGACGTAGAGGGTCACTTCACTTGATGGTATCTCTTGTGGTCTTTTTTTCGGTCTTATAATTGATCGTGTAATTGATTGAACGCCTGCCCTTTGTTTCTCCCAGTGCAAGCTAGTTTGGCCTTTATCTATATAGATTTATATCAAAACACACTCTCTCTATATATGTATATGTATCTCCACTGACGCAGAGATCGGTTTCCTATTTGATTATGTTCGATTGTGGGTGTTTTTAGGGTTCCGCAATGGGGGGTTTACTATGAGTACTCTCCATATATCCACTCGGTGCTCCAATAATGCTTTGCCGATTTTGATATGTGCACTTTGCCATCATTTATCGGAAACGGTTTTATTGAGGGGGAGTATTTGTGGTATATATATTGTATATTGTAGATAAAATCAATTGCCAAACAGCTATGTGAGCTATGAAAAGGGGCAATCAAAAGGCAGACAGCGTTCACTGAATTTATGAATTCATAAAACCCATTTATGAGCATATCGGAGTGTTTTGGGCTACCCGTTACAAGCAGGTACTTTGGGTACTTTGAAATTCGTGTCGCTCTTTTTAGCATACTTCTAGGTATTTTTCTGGGGATATTTCATACTTTTAGGCAGTATAATTCGATATATTTTTAAACTTTTGTTTATTTTTAAAAGAAAAATATATAATTTTTTGACATTTTTAGTATCGAATAGAATTTAAATTTGTTTTTTGGAATGTATAAAGTACCAGATATCAACTGTTGCTGTGTTGCCAGAAAAAGCTTTTTAAGCTTTTCCTTTGAGTTTTCCACAATATTTAAGAAACAGTCAGCCAATAGATGACGCTGATAAATATATGTATATCCATGTAAAATGTAAAATATGGGATATATATTTATATATATATGAAGAATACAATTAAAGAATTATATAAAAACTGTAATTTAAGTGTTTTTTTTTTAATAAAATAGGTTACTGAATTTTAATAATAACAAATACATATTTTTAATCACAGAACAAATTAATTCTAAAATATTGTTACTTTTAACGTGATTTTCTATAAGAACATATAATAATACATAGATTAAAATAAATTACGTTATACCATTTTGATTTCGCCCCATAATAATACATAGACTATACTGGTATACCCTTTTAGGCTTTTAAAATCTTATTCAAAGACTTGCTAGGCTGTGAAGGAGTCATTCCCGACCCTATAAATTATATATATTACTGATCAGCATTAACAGCCGAATCGAACTAAATATGTCTGACAAAAATTTTATTTTTTCAAAATTTTGACAAATTTATAATGGATATTATATATATTATAATGGAATATTAAAAATTGAAAAAAATTTAATTTATAATTGAGTTTGCAGATTTATTAACATAATAAAAACTAACATAGGACAGTTTTCCGAAATAAAATTAATGAATTGTTGGCTTAGTTATGAAATTTTAAAACTTTGATTTCGACTAAAAATGATCATATAAAAATATTGATTGAAAGAATAAAATTATTTCAGGTTCTCTTATCTCACTAGATACCTTAAAACCCTGTGTTTGAAAAATGAATCAATATTTACATTATTCACTTAAATATTTACAAATAATATCTAAAATATAGGTACAAATTGAAAATACTAATATTACATTTTAAAATGGTCAAAATTATTTTAAAGGTTTTTTCAAAATTTTCTTCTTTGATTAATTTACATTTTATAACATTTTGGCTAAATAAAATTTAACTGAAGTCAAAAGATTTTCTTGTCTTGTGAATCATTAGGCAAACTCTCTTATAACCCCTTTGGTAACCAATTTATTTTCTTGTTAACGGAAACGGATATGTGATTTTTGAAGAAATCAAATATTATTAAAAGGGGCATCCCCTCCCCTTCCATTTCTATTAAAATCAGAATACCCCATGTGGACATTAACTTGACGTAGTTGC